GGTGTTGACCATCTGGTGATGTCCATGTGTAGAGTCTTCTCTTGTGTTGTTGGAAGAGGGTGGTTGCTATGACCAGTGCCTTCTCTTGACAAAACTTTGTTAGCCTTTGCCCTGCTTCATTCTGTACTGCAAGGTCAAATTTGCCTGTTTCTCCAGGTATTTCTTGACTTCCTACTTTTGCATTCCAGTCCCCTATAATGAAAAGGACATCTTTTTTGGGTGTTAGTTCTAGAAGATCTTGTAGGTCTTCATAGAACCATTCAACTTCAGCTTCAACATTACTGGTCAGGGCCTAGGCTTGGATTACCGTGATATTGAATGGTTTGCCTTGGATATGAACAGAGATCATTCTGTCATTTTTGAGATTGCACCCAAGTACTGCATTTTGGACTCTTTTATTACTATGATGGCTGCTCCATTTCTTCTAAGGGATTCCTGCCCACAGTAGTAGATGTAATGATCATCTGAGTTAAATTCACCCATTCCAGTCCATTTTAGTTCGCTGATACCTAAAATGTCAACGTTCACTCTTGCCATCTCCTGTGTGACCACTTCCAATTTGCCTTGATTCATGGACCTAACATTCCAGGTTCCTATGCAATATTGCTTTTTACAGCATCAGGCTTTACTTCCATCACCAGTAACATCCACAACTGGGTGTTGTTTTTGCTTTGGCTCTGTCTCCCCATTCTCTCTGGAGTTATTTCTCCACCGATCTCTGGTGGCATACTGGGCACCTACTGACCTGGGGAGTTCATCTTTCAGTGTCCTATCTTTTTCCCTTTTCATGCTGTTCAATGGGTTCTCAAGGCAAGAATACTGAAGTGGTTTGCCATTCCGTTCTCCAGTGATCCATGGTTTGTCAGAACTCTCCACCATGACCTGTCCATCTTGGGTAGCCCTACACAGCTTAGCTCATAGTTTCATTGAGTTAGACAAGGCTGTGGTCTGTGTGATCAGATTGGTTAGTTTTCTGTGATTGTGGTTTTCAGTCTCTCTGCCCTCTGATGGAGAAGGATAAGAGGCTATGGAAGCTTCCTGATGGCAGAGACTGACTGAGGGGGAACCTGGGTCTTGTTCAGATGGGTGGGGCCATGCTCAGTAAATCTTTAATCCAATTTTCCACCACAGACAGAGTGGCTTCTAAACCACAGAAGTTTATTTCCCAGTATTCTGGAGGCTGGAATTCAAGGTCAGTGTGTCAGCATGGTTGGGTTGTAATGAGGGCTCGCTGGTTTGCAGTCTGCCAGCTCCTTCGTGTGTCTTGACTTGGTGAAAGGAACAAGGAATTTTTCCAGATTTTTTTTTCATAACTAATCCCATTTGTGGACTCCACCCTCATGACCTCATCATTTTTCAAAGGCTCCCCTTCTTAAAGCATCACCTTGTGTATTCTGTTCCTACTATCTGAACTTGGGCAATATACTATATTCAGTCTGTAGAAGTCATTCTTATTCAGTCTTCAATTATTCCCTTTCCCCAAACATCATGATGGTGCTGGGGAGAGGGACAGCTTCCCTCTGGTCCTTTGCATTTGCAGAGACATCAGAGGATGCTGGGTCATTTAAGGGGTGATGCTCATGTAACTCTAGTGACATCTGATGCATGAAGCTAGGGAGCATGCCTTCATCCTTATCTTGCTTGGGTCCTCGTGAGTACCTTGCTATCTCATCCTCCTGTCTTCTCCAGCTATTGCTGAGAGCTCACTGGGATTGGTTTCCCACATTCTCCATCCAACCTTTGATCCTTGGAGTGTCACCTTGTCCCAGTCATAGAAGGTCAAATCGCACACTCACTGGATCTCAACCCAACATCCTCATCACTCAGGAAACAAAGCAAAATGACACTTTACACAGTGAACTATTTTTCTTTTATCACTTAAATAGTGCCACATCCTCCCTGTAATATGGGTGACCTCTGTATGATGAACCTTTCCTCCCCTCCCCCCACACCTGAGCAGGAGGGATTAGACATTTGTGTGCCTCAGAATCCTGCTGTACACTGTCTGTCCCTTAGGGGATGGAAAGTTCCAGGCATGTGTTTGATCGTGTCCACTCCCTATAATTTTTTTTTTCTTTTATTAGTACCTCCTTTTTCTACCTCCTTCTCTCTTCAAATCTTTCATGTGTGAATTCTTCATTGTTGATAAAATAAAAAGTGTCTCTACAAAATAGCAGATTAAAGCAACAATAGTCATCTATAATTTTAGTTTCCATGGGTTACAAATTCAGGAAAGGTCCTAGTCAAGATGTTGGGTAGGGACAGACATGGCTGTCACAGTAGTTTGCTAGCTCTTGATCTCGTGTATCAGTATCTAACTAACAGTCTGATTAAATATATATAAACTTGTGTGCATGCGTGCTGAGTCGTGTCCAGCTCTTTGTGACCCCATTGACTGTAGCCCACTGGCTACTCTCTTCATGGGATTTCCCAGGCAAGAATACCAGAGTGGGTTGCCATTTCCTACTCCAATAAGAAATATAGTTATTTCTGTTTCAGAGAACTGCAAGGATGCTATAAAAAGGATACTGTGTCATGTAAAGAACAAAACAAGAGTTTAAGCTTCTAAGAATGCATCATTACAAAAGGCACTTCTCTTATATTATACTACACAGTAAAAATAACCAGTGTTTGCTTTATCTCAGTTTTAAAAAATATGAACCATATTCTTATTCAAAAGAGTAGATTGTTGTGGTTATGTATTGATAGTTACGTTACATAATAGAAAAACAATTGGAAATGATTCCCTACCTGTTTGTGGAATATAAATCTTCTTTTTCTTCTCTTGTTCTTTTAATTTCAGGTATTCAATACTTCTTAGACACTGCCCTGGTGCCATATACCTCGTATTCCTATTACATCGTGAGCAGCAGCGTGCATGGTTCAACACGAAGCGCGGCTGTCACCTACAGGACAAAACCAGGGGCCCCAGTAGGAAGTCTGAATTTCAGTTATGTTAGTCCCGTTAGCTCAGACTCTGTGACACTTACCTGGGCTTCACCTTCCGATCGTTCTGGGCCTGTTGAGAAATATGTTTTGTCCTGTGCTCCTCTACATGCTGTCCAGCCCTGCTCTCGCTATGAAGGCCCCGAGACCACCGCCACCATCTGGAATCTGCTTCCATTCACCGAGTACCGTTTTGATCTGCAGGCGTGTACTAGCGGGGGCTGCTTACACAGCACCCCTTTGACAGTGACCACAGCCCAGGCAGCTCCCAAGAGGCTGGGTCCACCCAAGGTGCGGAAGATCAGCTCCACAGAGCTTCTCGTAGAATGGGCTCCACCAATGGAACCAAATGGTAGGAATTCAAGGCCTAGATTTCCCATTTTTGGGTAGAAGGAGGCGAATCTGGATATTTGGAATTTTCAGTAAGATTCCAGCAACTGTTTTTGTTTTTATAACTTGCAGGATGTTGTAATTGGGAAACAGTTTCTGAAGATATAAGATACTATTTGTCCTGGTTAGTAAAATAAATGTATTTCCTTAATCTAATAACAAATTCCACTCATTTAAATTGTCCCCTAAAAGGCTAATATTATCTTTGCTCTTAATGACATCTGCCATAACACAAATGATGTTTCTAATTAGAAACTCACTTAGGAAATGCATTATATTTGACTGTGTCACAAGTTAGGGCACCCGTAAGTAGTAAATTTTCTTTTAAGCAAGAAAAAGATATGAAATAATACAAAAAATATGTATATAGGCTAGCCAACTCCATTAAGTTAATTTTTGTGCTCATATAATTGAACCTTTGGTTATACAGGCCAGTATACATTCATAGATTTTTAATAATTTAATATCATGTACATATATGGCAAAAGCTTTTTTCTTGGAATTTTTAAGACACTTGATTAAAGTAGGTATAAATAAACTATAATATTCTAATATTTGTGTAAATAAGATGTCCAGCTCTTTGTGACCCCATTGACTGTAGCCCACTGGCTACTCTCTTCATGGGATTTCCCAGGCAAGAATACCAGAGTGGGTTGCCATTTCCTACTCCAATAAGAAATATAGTTATTTCTGTTTCAGAGAACTGCAAGGATGCTATAAAAAGGATACTGTGTCATGTAAAGAACAAAACAAGAGTTTAAGCTTCTAAGAATGCATCATTACAAAAGGCACTTTTCTTATATTATACTACACAGTAAAAATAACCAGTGTTTGCTTTATCTCAGTTTTAAAAAATATGAACCATATTCTTATTCAAAAGAGTAGATTGTTGTGGTTATGTATTGATAGTTACGTTACATAATAGAAAAACAATTGGAAATGATTCCCTACCTGTTTGTGGAATATAAATCTTCTTTTTCTTCTCTTGTTCTTTTAATTTCAGGTATTCAATACTTCTTAGACACTGCCCTGGTGCCATATACCTCGTATTCCTATTACATCGTGAGCAGCAGCGTGCATGGTTCAACACGAAGCGCGGCTGTCACCTACAGGACGAAACCAGGGGCCCCAGTAGGAAGTCTGAATTTCAGTTATGTTAGTCCCGTTAGCTCAGACTCTGTGACACTTACCTGGGCTTCACCTTCCGATCGTTCTGGGCCTGTTGAGAAATATGTTTTGTCCTGTGCTCCTCTACATGCTGTCCAGCCCTGCTCTCGCTATGAAGGCCCCGAGACCACCGCCACCATCTGGAATCTGCTTCCATTCACCGAGTACCGTTTTGATCTGCAGGCGTGTACTAGCGGGGGCTGCTTACACAGCACCCCTTTGACAGTGACCACAGCCCAGGCAGCTCCCAAGAGGCTGGGTCCACCCAAGGTGCGGAAGATCAGCTCCACAGAGCTTCTCGTAGAATGGGCTCCACCAATGGAACCAAATGGTAGGAATCCAAGGCCTAGATTTCCCATTTTTGGGTAGAAGGAGGCGAATCTGGATATTTGGAATTTTCAGTAAGATTCCAGCAACTGTTTTTGTTTTTATAACTTGCAGGATGTTGTAATTGGGAAACAGTTTCTGAAGATATAAGATACTATTTGTCCTGGTTAGTAAAATAAATGTATTTCCTTAATCTAATAACAAATTCCACTCATTTAAATTGTCCCCTAAAAGGCTAATATTATCTTTGCTCTTAATGACATCTGCCATAACACAAATGATGTTTCTAATTAGAAACTCACTTAGGAAATGCATTATATTTGACTGTGTCACAAGTTAGGGCACCCGTAAGTAGTAAATTTTCTTTTAAGCAAGAAAAAGATATGAAATAATACAAAAAATATGTATATAGGCTAGCCAACTCCATTAAGTTAATTTTTGTGCTCATATAATTGAACCTTTGGTTATACAGGCCAGTATACATTCATAGATTTTTAATAATTTAATATCATGTACATATATGGCAAAAGCTTTTTTCTTGGAATTTTTAAGACACTTGATTAAAGTAGGTATAAATAAACTATAATATTCTAATATTTGTGTAAATAAGGCTTATATTAAGCAGATAATAAAATTTAAATCCCCAAATTTGAAAATATACGCATTGATCAAATTTCCAAAAACAAATAGCCATTCTTAGTAGAAATTATAATCATTCTGAAAAATATTGAATTTACCTATCATAAGTTATAATTATTTTGTGTTTGTGCATTTTCCATTTGTCTTTCATTTTCCATGAATATGCTGTTTAGTAATATTTCATACTTTCATGTAGCTATGAGTTTTTGTTTTTTTAGAAGTACCTATCATCTATATTACCAAGGAAATGGACAGGTAATTGAGTCAGAACAATGAAAGCAAAGACTCTACGAATAATTTAACCTCACACCATCAATAAAATAGGCCATTGGTCTAATACGTCATCTTTGTTCACTGTTTCACTTTTCTAGGCATAATTATAAGATATGAACTGTATATGAAAAGACTGAAGTCTAGTGGAGAAACAAGGTCAGCCGAAAGTCAAGTTTTTCAGAGCAGTGGCTGGCTCAGCCCTCACCCACTTGCAGAATCAGCTAATGAAAATGCTCTCGAACCTCCAGAAACAAGCACAGCTGTCACTGGCTTGGAGCCATATACCAAGTACAAGTTTAGAGTCTTAGCTGCGAACATGGCCGGGAGCGTGTCTTCTGCCTGGACCACAGGGAGAACGGGAGAATCAGGTGAAGATCAGAGCTGTGAACTCTACTCTGAAAACACCTGAATGAAACTATTTCCTCAAATTTAAGTCATCAGTACTAACTACATTGGAAAAGGAAGAGTTAATGAACTTGCATAGGCCAAGGAAATATTGAATACATGGATTGGTGGCATATATAATTCAAAGTCATAAAGTTCTTGCCGTTAAGTTTTAGGGAACATTTAATGTTTTAGCTATTACCTCAAGGGAGAAAAATGACCAAACTATAGTCATAGTCTTTTGGGAACATTTATCAAAAATAGCAATTGGTTTCCAGTCCTGAAGTGGGTTGGCCATATGTCCCATCTTGATCCAAATTTGGTATAATTTATGTTCAATGAAAAAGATAACTGTTGCCAGTTTCATAAATATGTTTTTGTTTTTCTTTCTTTTTCTAAAACAAATAGTTCAGGTACTAAATTGGACCTGAAAATATAATCCCAGACATCAAAATTTATAATTCACAAGTGAGTTTATAAGCAGTATGGTAAGGAAGGATGGTGAAAAGTTTTAATTTTTCTAAGCTATCATTACTCAAGCAAGTGAGATATTTTTAATCCTCCACCTCATTCTTTATATTATACACTTCAAGTTTCATGAGCCCTTAACAAAAAAAATACACTTTTGCTATGCTTTGAAGCTATAGATATCCAAAGAGACCCAAGTGCTGATTTAAATGGGATATGTTAGGATTGGGAAGGGTAAGGGGAACTTCAGGTTTGATGCCCAAGGGAATCATTTCATAAATAAAATGTCCATTGTGCTTGAGCATCTCTTAAGTGACTTCCAGCCATCTTGGCCAAATAATAGTGCCATGATAGCACAAGTGATGAGCCATGGCATTCTGGAAGGGGAAAATCAAGGTCAGAAAAGAAAAGTAATGGATGAAATAGCAATACTGGACCCTCATAATCATATGGGTCACTGGCTAATGAAAGTGTGATGAGGTCCTTTGATAATACACCTTTGGTTAGCACATTTAAAATCTATATTAAGATCTCAAGGATGGTAGGTAGAGAATGTATGTATGTATATCCCTGAACATTTCTATCAAGATTTATTGAAAACTTTTCAAATTTCTTTGGGGTTATTTAGAACATTTTCAATTTTCCTCTTTCTAAAGAGTAATATTCTCCAAGAAGTTCAGTGAAATACTTATGTATATAAGAAATCCAATATGTCACTAGGCATTGTTCTGAAGTTTGTGGACTGAGACATATTCTGTTTTGTGGTTTTTCCTTTTAAAGACTTCATACAACTTATGATTTCCTCCCCCATTACCTACTAGTTTTCTTTGTGAACACAGGTCAATTCCTATTTTTATTTTGTAAATGGAAAATATCTTTGTTAGTAATGTGAGGTAGAGGACATGCTTGAAGATGTATTTTTTAAGTGAGTAGTTTTTTATATACATACCAGCATATTCTTTGATTTTTAAAATTAGAGTATTATGTAAGGAATGTGATGTTTCTGAAATTCTTAATAGGATAGACTTGTGATTTCAGCTTGAAAACCTGTTAATGTGACATTCACTGTTTTGGCTGTTACTACTGTTGTCGTTAACAGCGCCTGTATTTGTGATGCCGCCTTCAGTCTCCGCACTGTCTCCTTACTCGCTCAATGTGTCCTGGAAGATGCCACCGGACAGTGCAGCAAGAGGAAAAGTTGTGGGGTACAACATCAGTATGATTTCTGAACAGTCACCTCAGTGGTCTCAGCCAGTGGTGGTTCCACAGGTACTGTTACTTCCAATTCATGTCCTTCTAGAATTGGATTATGTCTTTGTTTTTAGAGTTTCTGCATTGCAGAATTCTGGCAGAATTTTCACCTATACAATCCTTATGTGGGGAATTTTTTCTTAACATATTATGTATACAAGGGTCTAAATATATCACTTATTTTTTTCTAGTATAAATGGAAATAATCTGGGTATAATTTTGTTTCATAAAGTCCGCTTTTTCTACTTAGCATGTATCCTCAGGTATCTTTCAAGAGGTTGACATTCAGTAGCTGTGTACTATTGTATTGTTTACGTATACAATAATGATTCAACCAATGCACAATCAATTGATATGTATATTGTATGAATTCTTTTGGAAATGCAAATAACAGTGATAAGAACATTTTATATGTACATTTGTATATTTCAAATTCCTAAGAAAACTTTCTGAGGGATGCAGTTTATTTACAGCTTATAGCAAAGATTATGAACATTTCATGGTTTAGGATATGTCGTGACATACTGCTTACTAGTGGGTCATCTCCAGTCAGCAGTAATGAGAATAATGATCATAGGTAACAGTTACTGAGGCTTTACTTTGTACACATACTAAATCATGATATGTATAACAATCCTGGAAGATGAGAAGCTCTTGTTACTCTCCATGATATGGTGTGGCCAGTGTCCTTTTTATCAGCACAAGGGTCAGTTCAGTCTCTCAGTCATGTGTGACTCGTTGCAACCCCATGGGCTGCAGCACATCAGGCCTCCCTGTCCAACACCAGTTCCCGGAATTGACTCAAACTCATGTCCATTGAGTCAGTGATGCCATCCAAACTGCATCCAGATTTCTCAGGAGGCAGGTCAGGTGGTCTGGTATTCCCATCTCTTGAAGAATTTTCCACAGTTTGTTGTTATCTGCACAGTCAAAGGCTTTGGCATAATCAATAAAGCAGAAATAGATGTTTTTCTGGAATTATCTTGCTTTTTCAATGATCTAAAGGGTGTTGGCAATTTGATCTCTGGTTCTTCTGCCTTTTCTAAATCCAGCTTGAACGTCTGGAAGTTCACGATTCATGTACTGCTGAAGCCTGACTTTGAGAATTTTGAGCATTACTTTGCTAGCATGTGAGATGAGTGCAATTGTGCAGTAGTTTGAGCATTCTTTGGCATTGCCTTTCTTTGGGATTGAATAAAAACTGACCTTTTCCAGTCCTCTGGCCACTGTTAAGTTTTTCCAAATTTGCTGGCATATTGAGTACAGCACTTCCACAGCATCATCTTTTAGGATTTGAAATAGCTCAACTGAAATTCCATCCCCTCCCCTAGCTTTGTCGTGATGCTTCCTAAGGCCCACTTGACTTCAAATTCCAGGATGTCTGGCTCATCAGAATTGTGGTCATGGGGTCTGGACACAGCATATTATTCCTTCTGGCTATTACTCATAGTATAATATTCTATTCCAAGAAAGTAAAATTAAAAAAAAAAGCATAGTTTATAAAACATGTCCCAGAAATCAACTTGTTTTGATTCCATTTTTACCAATTACTAGGCATATCTCACATCTCTGTGCTCGAGATTTCACAAATTTGTTAAATGCAAAAGCAGTTTCTGCTCATCTATAGTTCATGTGGAGCTTAAAAAACTAGTTGCAGTGGCTCTTCTTGTTGCAGAACGTGGGCTTCAGTAGTGCACACACTGGCTCCGTAGTTGCAGTCCCCGGGCTCTGGAGCAGAAGCTTTAGTCGTTGTGGTGCATGGGCTTAGCGGCTCCGCAGCGTGTGGGATCTTCTGGGTCCAGGGATCGAACCCATATCTCTTGCATTGGCAGATGGATTCCAACCATTGAGCCCCATGGAAGTCCCCTTTATTTGTTTAAAGTCTTTCTTGTGTGTGTGGCAGAATTAAAATCAGGATATAGATATGTCACTTTATTTTCTTTCTTGTATCCGCTCCTGCAAGCATTCCTTCATATATTCAAGAAAATTAAATCACAAGTGGCAAAGTCAAATATTTTTTTTTTACATTCTCAACAATTAAATTTATATCTACACTGACCCAAATGTGTGTCATTATAATCTTGATAAATAAATAGCCAAATTTTCTGGGGAAAGCCTACTGTAAAAAATAATGGTTAAAGGATCTTTCCCTAAGAATGTGGCAGAAGACATTTATAGAAGCGGTGATGTTATCATTGTAGGATTTTAAGCTTTGACAAAGTTCTTCACACTCCTTAAAAATTAATCCCCCCCAAAAGTTTTCAATTAAATATATCCTTTAACACTTGTTAAGATGATTATGTATACATGGTAAAGACACAGTTTATCTGAGTGATAATTTTACATGCCCCAAGCTCTAGGATAAATGTCTTTGAAAAATCACGTAATTTCTATTAACAATATGTAGAGAAGTAAAATTTAATCAAAATTAATATTAATCCACATTTTCTCTTTATTACATTTCATTATGTGTTCTTGCGACAGAGAATACTTTGTTTAAAAAGATACAACTTAAAATTAAATACTTTAATGTATTTTATTTTAAGAACAATTGCATTTTCTAGAAAATCTACATTAAATTTTATCAGAATTGTTCTAAATAGGATAAATTTTATATCAATATTAAGTAAGTTTTAATCATTTCCAAGTTTTTTTTTTGGGGGGGACTTTAAATCACATTGCACAAAACAAAAAAATTTATATCTTCGAAACCTAAGTGCCATTTTGAAACTAGAAAAAGGATTAGTGAAGCAGTGTTTGCTGTTTTTCTGATTTATAAATGTATTGAAGGAAGTGGTATTAATGTTTTTACATTTTCTAGATTTTTAGAAATTTTAAATCACTTTTATTTCTGAAAAATGTTATGTTAACAATGTAATTTATATTCTAATCACACTGCTTTTGAGAACTACTCAGCTTATGAAAATTTAAAGTCAATACTCAGGCATATAATCCAAATGAATTTTATTGTACTCCTAAAGGGAAAACAAAATCTGGAAATTGACTTCATATGTAACTAATATTTAGTTATATGTAGTATTTATATGTATGGAAGATTATTTGATATACTGTTGTCAGTATCTCTTAGAAAAATAGTTTGTGCTCATGTGTGCTGTCAGACTGTTGGTTAATGACTTTTTTCTGAATATAATCACCAGGGGCATTTGTATCTATAGACTAAGCAAATTTACATGGTTGCTTTTGATCAGTTCTAGTTATATTGACAGACTAGCCCTTGGTGATGATTGTTTAATTATTTGTTTATGGGCCATAGAGTCTCCTTTGCTCATATCTGCTATTTTCACTTGAAATTGTGTGATAAAGACAATATTTTCCCAAAAAAGTAACCGTTTGATCAATATGCTTACACTTAGTTTACAAGAAAGGCAATCGAGAATTGACTTCATGTGGATGCTCAGTAATCTTTCCTTTTTTCTCCTCTTCCTTCCTGAGGGTTTCTTTCTTTCTTTTTTTTTATGAGCAAATGATGGGATTGATTTAACGACATGATGACATTTTTCTGTACCAGCTCCATCAGCTAGCATGTGGACATTACTGCACTGGGTTCATCTTGGCCAAGCCCTGTGGTTTTATTTGGACTTTTTCACAATAACAATGAGAGTGTCACCATTCTTTATCTCTACTGTCGGTGACAAGAGCCACACCACCACGCTGCTTTATGAGGCAATAACTCGGTTTCCTCATTTATCCACTCAGGAACTGGATTATTACCTCATAAAACAGTGTGATTGTACAATTATCAATTAAATCCTAGCTTGTTGAGTCCCTTCAAAAAGAAATTCCTTTTCTTAATTGTGGTTGGCAGTAATTCCCTCTGTTGGAATTTCTGGAAATTTGCTTCTCTAGCTTATATTTTTCACAATAGAAATCTATTACCTGACTTTTCTTTTTTGTTTGTTTTTCCTTACCTTGCAGGCATTGTACACTGCTAAATCCCAAGAACTATCTTATATTGTAAAAGGACTAAAACCTTATAGGATATACAACTTTACTATTTCTCTCTGCAATTCAGTTGGCTGTGTGACCAGTGCTCCAGAAGCAGGACAGACTTTAGCATCAGGTAAGCAAGTTTTAGTGGACGTGTAAAAGATATCGTGTGTTTATAAAGAAAACACCTACAAAGCTCAATAGCGTCTCTAGTTTGGTCTTAATATTTGTCTTTTCAGCTTTCTCTTGCTCCCTCATAAACTCCAATTGCTATTGACCTTGACATAGTTGAACAGAAAAATAAATTTAAGAGCCTGGAGGATTCCTGAGTTTCTGTGTCATAATAAATATAATTAGATGCAGAGTGGTTCTAGGACTCAGCCACCACCTTAAGTCCTAAAGGTGTCCCAACAATCGTTAGAAGTATTCAGGAGGCTTCTTGTGAGGATTCGGAATGCTTCTCCTCTCCATCTTAACTCTTCGTGTGGGATTGGGTTTACCCACTCCTGCCCCATGGAGCTAACAGCAGACATCCAGAAATTAGTAGGCTGCCCTGGTGTCATATTTTGCCTTTATTGGATAGGCAGTAGTGTTCTTATTATCTGTTTATTATAAATATAAAATTCCTAGGTGCATAAAATTGAAATAAAAAACTTATTATCAAGTATAATCTTAGTAGGAGATGGCTTGTATAATTTTTTGTTTGCTTCACTTAGAATAAATTAAATTCATACAAACTTGATTACATGTATTATTAACACCTATATAACCCAATTACTTACAAGTTAAGATTTTTTTCAAATCAGTTTTTCTGTCAGCATCCAACAAGGCTTAGTTTCCTGGCACTCTTTAAGGAAATGTCCAGATGTGAAGAGGTTATGAGATTTTTAGCAAACATATTTAGGTATGAAAATATTCCTCAGGCCTTCTTTCTTACTGTTTCCATATAAAGTTCCATTATTTTTGTTATATTTTGTTTTAGTTCTGGGAAACTTGTTTGGCCCAAATTATTTTATATTAATATACAATAAATATCAAATATAGCAAGTAATTTTTCTTCAAATTTTCTGTCAGCAAGGAAGTCTCCAAAGTTTCAAGAAATTATGTTTTATTATCTGCATGAGTGAACTCTGTGTTTTTCACATATTTAACCTACATGTACAAATATATATGGAGTACCTAGCTTGAACAAAACACCATTTTCCTGTAAGACTGTACATTTATTTATTTTTATATATTATGTTATTAGAGAGCTACAGAGTGTGGATAATAGTATCTCCTTTAGGAAAAATGATATAACTGGGTAATGAGAACAAAAATTAAAGGAGTAATCAGTCCTGAGGGCCAAAGAAAGTGAAAACAGAAGCCACGTGAGCTGAAGATTGGCCCGAGGCCTAGTGGAAGATAAAGGGACCCCGATCATGTGCTTAAGCAGAACTGAAATCACAGCTTTTTAGGGCTTTAAAACATTTAAAAGTCATCTGGAGTGACCATCTCACCAATATTAATACATCTCTGGCAACATTCCTTCCAAGTGTTTGTCTGCCATGTGTTTGATCCTTTGGGGGTAGAGAAACTACCACATCTCCAGCAAATCAGACCATGTGTAGTGACCTCTTTGAAAAGGCAATTTTCAGACTGATAATGACCAAAATATTTCCTTCTGTTTTCTATTGAACATTCTCCTTCCAATCCCTTGGGGGCTGCCCTCACTCTAATTCATATTCCTCATGACATCACTTCCAGTAACATCTTCAATAATAATACCTCCACCCAAGTCTTCTTTCCTTCAGGCTGTGTACCAAACTACCTCCCATCTGCACTTTACATGCTCCAGTTTGTGACACTGTTAGGACAGGCTCTTTCCTCTAGATGAGATCTACTCTTGTCTTTTCATAGACACAACCTGAAAGAACTGAATGGGGACATGCTGGTCCCTAGAGACTAGACGGAACCTGGAGATAGAAAGCAAAAAGCAGGGAAGATGTGTGTAGAATGGCATCCTTCCTGCTTAAAGCACCAGTGATTACATCTGTGTGAATATTGTCCTCAGTGGTTTCAGCAAGAGTTCCTGTGACGTGGAACTCACTCCCTCCCACTGCTCTTGTTTTAGTCGCTGGTGAGGATGCTTGAGGCCACTCTCTCTACTGGAAGATGAATGGAGTAGAACTCATCTAAGCTCTCTCAGCATTCTCTCTCTGCCTCTTTTATCTGTGAGAACAGAACTTGGAAACTTCTCGTATTCTCTGAAAGCCACGAGATGCACAAGTTCATTGACTTTTTCAAATAAGAGTTTACTCACTCATCTAAGGGAAAAATGATAAGCCAGAATGCCATGACTTGAATTTGGGCTCTGCCACCTACTACCTTTATGACCTTGAGTAAATTGCATAATCTCTGTGCCTTTGTCTTCCAAATTACAAATAAGGATACCCTGTATTTTAGTGTTCTCCTGAGGAAAAGAGTGAATACATGTTAAATATTTAAGGCAGTGTCTAGCACAAAGTCAAAACAAATTATTTCTATCAAGATTTTTGTTATAACTATTACATAATCTTTTTATTAGTCACAGTGTGTTACAGAATTTCTGTTATCAAAGTCATGAAGTTTTACTTTGCAACCTTGTTTCCATAACATTTTAACATAAATGTAACAATGGAGAGTCCTAAAATTGAGGCTTGAATGACAAAAGTAAGCTGTAGGGGATTAACATTGAAAAGCATCAATTTTCATCTCTGTGAAGAGCATGTTGTCCTGAATTATGACATGTATTTCTAGATTTTGATCAAAAACTGCACATTTCAAATTTGTTGTTCACAATATAAAATTAATAAGGTGCCATACCATACCATTGCTGTTTTGTTGTGAATGCTCGATTGAGTAAGTTTCTATTAAGGTTCTAATTTCAGGCATTAGAAAGTGGGGTGAGTTCTAATAGAAACCATTCATGCCTTAATGTTGTCTGTATTAAGATGTTGACATATAACAGGTAGGATTAACACCTTGGGGGAAAGGGTAAAAGAAAGCTATTGGAACAGAGAATATGAGATAGGTGACTGATTTAGCAGATTGGGAAATCATGTCAGGTTAAATGGCATTTGAGGTGGACTATAAATAATTGGTAAGGATGTTTGTAGCTATTTTTTGAGTTTATATCATGTACTTGTTGCTGTTTCAGATGCTGTTCCAAACTGACATGATGAAAGCTGGGGATTATGATGATTTCTCTGTCAGTAGAGTAGAGTATAGTATAGATTAGAAGAGAATGTGAAAATAGAGTCTGGTAGGCATTCCAAGGAGGCTCCCCTGGGGGCTCAGCAGTAAAGAATATTCCTGCCAGTGCAGGAGATTTGGTTCAATCTCTGGTCTGGGAACATCCCCTGGAGAAGGAAATGGCAACCCACTCCAGTATTCTTGCCTGGGTAATCCCATGGACAGAGGAGCCTGGCAAGCTACCGTCCATGGGGTCAAAAAGAGTCGGATATGACTTAGTGGCTAAAACAGGACATTCTAAAAAAGTCATGAGAAAGTAAATTAGATAAATAGAAAGAAATATTAGAAGCATGAAATGGAATGCTTCAAGGAAAAGAAATCCACAGGTTAAGAAGAGGGAGGAACTGAAGATGATAGTAAATATCCTAGACCTTGGTGATGCCACTGAATGTAATGCAAAAAAAACTGAAGAAAGACCATATGGGAGAAATAAAGCCATGAGTTTCAGTTTAATTATTTGATCAAAACATATCCATAACAATTATAACCAGCCAACAGCAGAAAATGCAAATCTGGAGCTTAAGAAGGATGTAAGTTTTATAATTGTCTGCATATAAAAGGAGGTAAAACTATGGATAGTACTATATTAGTGAAGGCAGAGAAAATACAAAAGAAAAGTTTACACCTCAGTGAATGCTCACATTCTGGGAGAAAGAGAAAAGGAAAAATTAAAGAAACAGAGACATGGTCAGAGTTAGGTATAGAATCTAGAAAGAGCACTATTCAAAAAGTCAAGGGCAGAGAGAATTCTAGAAGGAGAATGTCAGTAGAGTCACAGACGGTAGGGAAAGGGAAAGAAATGTAAGATACAAGGAATGTAGGGTCATTGATGATCCCCTGGGCAGCACTCTGATTAGCATAGTCAGAGCAAAAGCTGGGAAGTAAAAAAAGTAAACAGTTCCAAAAGATGGTAAGTTTTAAATGTGTAGCTTTTTGTTCTTTGCCAAAATGTTCCTTCTACTCAGTTTCCATAAAAGTTTTGTTCACATGTGAGATCCTTTCTTTTCTGAGAGAAAAGTTACTATTTTTCTGGGAAAATTTTTATTTCCTAGTCTCTTTATTTAATTTATCTTGTCAGAACTCTATGACTTTTCATCTGCCAGACAGGGAATGAAGTCACTTACATGACAAAAGTATGGAAAATAATTTTTGCTTGCCACTTGATTTGTGGTAAAATGCATTGTTTTCAGGAGTGTTTAGGCCAGGGAAAATGGACTTGTTTGTAATAGAATATAAGGAAAACCCCAGAAATTACAGATCCAATATCCTTCTTGCTTCCTTTGTTTTCAGTAGATAAATAGGGTATTTTTTTTTTTAATTTTCCTAGGATTAAATGTCTGTGTAACTGATAGATTTTAAGTCATAGAAATAAACAATGAGAAGGTCAGTGCTTTTGAATGGTCAACAGATTTGTTGTAGGAAAGGAATAAAAGTTGACTCGCAGCACTTTGACTCTTCTTGCTTTGTCTCTTCTAGTAATAAAATTATGGTTTGGAGGGTACATAATTCCAATAGATTTGTGGGAAATTTAACTCTTAAGTCTAAATGTAGTTCATGTGAGTGAGTTGCCAAGGATCAGAACAACCATTTAAAAACTTTGAAAAAGAGCACCGTAAATTGGAAGTAGTATTCAGCTTTTCTGAAGCACTGAATCGTGAAAATATGTTTTTTCCTTAAACCACAGTCACAGAAATAAAAAAGATACTTGTTAGATATGTCTGTTTCATTAAAAAGCTTGAGAATTGTAATTTGCTCTCTTTCAAGTATTTTTTCGATTAGACGTATCATTAGAATTGGCACGTTTCATCCAAAATGTTTATCACTGCTCCTTTAGTTTTGGTGCCCATGAACAGTGCCAGA